CTCCCCTCGATGGTTCAGCCAGGACTCGTGTCGTCTACCTCCATCGCCGCCCAGCAGACGTCATCATCATGCCAAGCGTGATGTTGGTTGTTGATGAAGCTATGAGCGTCTTGGTGAGGACCGGGCCATTCGCATACCGGCGGTTGGTGTAGAGCTGGTGCTAGGTTGGACTGCGGTGCAGCTGCTACCTCCCGAGCCACGCTTGGCGGCTGTAGTGGCGAGCAGATGGAGCGATCCATCTGGCGTGTCCCCACTCCCCCTGTGGGGAGGGAGGGCGCGTGTCGGAGCCACGATGCGGAGCTTTCCGCCTGTTGAATGGTGATGGCTTCTACCAGTGCCCGGAGGTTTCGATAGACTGCCCGCTCCTAGGGGTCGACGTGCTCGGGAACACCGCGCAAAGCATTACCGCAGCGGCGATGTTCTGGCTAGCCCGAGCGAACTGTGGGGGGTCGTTCCCCTCGTTCATGAAGTCATGCTGGACCTGGCGAGCGCGACCCCAGGCGCTGCCTGTCGGGTCATGCGCATGTGGCGCAACATGCGGCACCGAGCGCGCCGGCGCAGGCGGTGGCTGGTTCTGCCACCGTTGTCGTAGTTCTTCGACGTGCCCTTGTGCCCATGCGAGGGCCCCCGCATGAGGGTCCGAAGGGGTGTGAGTCTGCAAGGACTCCGCTACCACCGGTGGCTGTCTCGGAGCGTCCTCCATAGCACACTCTCGGGATGGACGGTGGCCGAGCACCACGTCGGCGATGTTGGAGCCATCACTCTCAGCCTCGTCATCCAGGAGTTCGTAGAAATAGGTTGGAGCATAGCTCGCCATCCCCACGAACTCGGATGTGAGAGGAGACGGCGTTAGCATTTTTCGGAGCCCCCGGGCGTACGCGTCCGCGGGGGACGCGAGGCCGTAAGGGAACCGGTCGTGCAGTGGTTGCGGTATGGACAACACGGTCCCTCCGAATAATTGACGGAAGATAGTAAATAGCGAGTAAATAACTGTATGGACATTACTCACAGCGGGGTTTGAGCAGAGAGTTTGCTCTGAATGAAGCGTAGATGCCTCATCGTTGAAGTCGTCGTGCGTCCCGGAGCCGATGGAGGGCGCCCCTCCGATGGGCGCCGGAACGAAAACCTCCTCGCGGAGGTGCAGTACGCCGAGCCGGTCGGTGATGAAGTCCAGGCTTCCGAAGTGGAAGGCCTGGGATGGCTTGAACACGGGTGGAACCCACATCCCAACTGGTGGGAGCGCGGGAAACTCCAATGAGCCGAAGCGAGTTGTATCGCTTGAGCCCGCCATGGCGAAGGCAGTGGAAAAGGGGGCCATCCGATGACCAAAAAGTGTTGAACGTACAACGTCTTCCCCACGGACGGCGCCAACTATCGGTGCAGAAAGTGGCCAACAAGTAAATATTTGTAGTTTTGCCGTACGTTGTGATCGGAGGTGGCCTAGCACTCAATGACACAGGGTTTATACTTGTTCAGACAATGTGTCCTACGTCCAGTTTGAGTTGGTCGGTGACTTTATTCCTGAGCCCAAGTGCTCGAAGTTTGCAGTGGGGTTACAAACGAGAAGGAGAAAGATGGGGTATATAAGAGGTCTGGTCGGAAGGGCCGAGAGTGATAGGAGCTCCGCTGTGAGCTAAGTGTTCAAGCGTGTGCTTGAGGTTCGATCCTGGCGGTTCTGTGGTTATTAACTAGTGAACTTGGTTGATCTAATGAATCTAGAATGACTTGTATGAACTTGAATCAACTGAGTCTCTTGGGAGAGAGTGCATCCCCTTTTTTAGATGAAGGGTATGGCCTTACAAGTGAGAGAGAGGGAGTACGTATGCTCTTCAACCTTGCTGCCCACGCTGGCAGGTACAGGATGATGGTAGGCGCCCACAATACTGTTGGTTGTCAGATGCACATGGGAGGTCACGTCGTCTTGTTCAGGTATGTCAGATGTCAGTACCTGCAATACTGTTGATGCTCAGAGGCATGTGGGGGACTTTTACCATGTTCTCCTGGTACGGTAAGTGCCGACGCCCACAACACTGTCGATGCCCAGAGGCATGTGAGGGGCCTTACCGTATGGGAGTTAATGGCGCCCACAATACTGTAGGGAAAATGTCGGCGCCTACGACATTGTTTGTGTTAGGGCGGCTGCAGAGTACTGTTTCTGCAGGTGTACAGGGTACGGTCCCTAGTATCGTGGTTTGACTTGTGTGGCTTGCCTCGCTTTCTCCGTTCGTTCCCTGGTCCTTTCCAAGCGGGTGTCCCCGGTCGGTTGGTCCCAGTCGCCTCTGGTTGCGCTAGTAGGAGAAGAGCAGTGAGCAGGGTTTTGGCGTACCCTGGTCGAAGACGTGGGGTCAGAGTCGAAAGTAGCATTTTGGCCAGGCCTTCTGGTCGGAGAGGCCGTCCAGAGGCGGCTGGAGTCGAAGCGAGCGCTCCGGTCGGAGAGGTGGGCCGGAGTCAGAAAACGGGCGCCGCTCCTCCTCGGCCAGACCTTTCGGTCGGTGATTGGACTGCCCTTCTGCCCTGTCGTTCGGATATTTGGGCCGGCCCATGAGTCGCGCGCTGTCTGCTTGGGCCGAGCCTTTGTTGGGAAACCGGCCCGCGAGGGACCCCAGGTTTATGAACCCGACACCTTTCTTCTCTCACTCGAGTACTACCCCTTTATTACTCTCTGTCGATATGCAGCTAATAAGACGGCCTAATAAGCCGGCTGATGCTGTTTTCTTGCGAGAGAAAAATATTGTACCATGGCTGATAAGTCGGGCTGATAAGTTCAAGCGAACTCCATGCTACTTCAGGTTTTACAAGTTGTATACTCATGCAAAACCATGGTCAATATTGTGGACCTGTTAGCAAAATAAAAACATGGTCAATATTGGACTTGAAAGGTTGATTAAATTCTAAATAATGCAAAGGTCAGATCAGTTGGACAATTTGGTTTCGGGTTTTCAAACTTACAACGATTAAAAGATTGATCAAGAAAAGTAGATTCGCCAAGTCCAGCGTCGGTTCAATCGGATGCATCTGCTAGCTGCATATCGGCAGAGAGTAATAAAGGGGGCAGTACTCGAGTGAGAGAAGAAAGGATTCGTAATTTCTCATATGCTGCGCAGGAATCCCTGCACTGCCGTGCCTGTTGCTGCTCCCCAGCGCCAGCGCGCCTGTGCAGTCACATACTACGAGAGAGAGAGAGAGAGATACTGTGGGTCTGCTACCGCTTGCACGTCTCATCACCTCCGTCGCAGCACATCATCTGACCGGCTCTGAGGTCGGCGCCAAGATCTGTGGTGCCGAGCTCGAAGCCATGTATTCTGGCGCCGAGGTACCGACCACGTCAAGGCCACCTAGGATGTCCTACTGTGCACGGCTAGGCACCTCGGAGCCAAGATCTGTGGCGCCAAGACGTGTTACCTCGGCGACATGAGTCCTGATGCCAACCCCCTGGGTCCAAAGATGAGTTTATGTCTCCCAGGGGTCAAACGTAAATTTTCTTTAAAAAAAGGCCAAATTGTAAAAAATTGGGGCACACTTTCTTGTCAGTAATTATTACACATGAGAAATACAGCGGTAAACTACCATTATTTAAAAAGTCTATTACAACCTCCAAAATGGTAAGTGCCGCATTAGAGCACACCAGGACACCCACTGAAAAGAAATGAAGCATTGAGATCAAAAAATGAATTATTTATGCCTTGTGCTACGGTGCTCACACCATACCCATAGGAGGTAAGATCTCAACCAAGTCCTAGTCCTCGATTTTTTAAATATATATAACAACTAAATAATTAATAAATAATGAAAGTATTTGTAAAAAAGAAAAAGGCAGGAAACCTCGGTCCTAAAATATATTGATCTCTGTCCGGTACAGGTTTCTAATTGCAATATTTTGTCACATGCATAAGTGCTCAGGACGGTGACTATACATCATGGCTACACAGTGATGTACCACTATGACTAATACTCCTTCCATTCTAAATTATAAGTTATTCTAACTTTTTTTTTAACTCAAAACAGCTCAAGTTTAACTAATATTATAGAAAGAATTATAAAGATTTATGACATCAAATTTGCACACTATGAAAACATAATTAATGAACAATCTAACACTTATTTCATAGCATAAATGTTACTATTTTATTATATAAATTTGATCAAACTTGAGATGTTTTAACACTTCAAGATAGTTGGAATGACTTATAGTTTGGGACGGAGGAGATACATCATAGCTACACAACGATGTACGACGTGACCATCTGGGATGCAAATTGAAGGCCTTGTAGCTTCTACTAGCCGGTTCTTTCAGAATATGAGATGCTCACTTCGTGTTTCAGATTGCACAGCATCTTTGTACTGTTGGAACTGTACCGAGCAGTTACATTATTTTGGGTTGGGGTGTACAAAGATAATTTTACCCCAACCCCAACAGCATATGCCAAGATGCATGAGCCAGCCGTTGTCAACATACCCAAGGACATTATTTTAGTTTGTTCATCGTTGTAAAATGTTTAGTGGTAACATTTGGTAGATATGTTGATGAGCAGTTGATGTATCTGAGGTAGTTTTATGCTGTCCACTTCATTGGGCGACGGAAAAATGAATCATTTTTTTTAAAAAAAAATCCCAGAAAAAATCATAACGGGCCCAATAATTAGGTGAGCTTAAGTGAGTAACAAAGATTCGACGACATTATTACCGCAGCCAGATGAACAGGTTAATTATTTGGTAAAGAAATAATCTTGGTTACCTTTTGTCCTTTAAGCATTCCCTCAGTGTGCGTATCAGCTGCTGATCTGTCTCCAACCTGTCTGACCCGTCAAAATCACTATTGCTTATTTGAGACAATATATCTCTCAGAAGCTTCTTCATGTCTGGAGTTTGTGATACAGACACGAAAGCCCGGCAATCAAATGCTTCAGTAATTTTGTGGTACACGTCCATGGCGAGGGTGGTCTTCCCGTGTCCACCGATCCCATAGATGGACACCACCTTGTGCTGCTTCTCTTCACATTTCAATAACCGGATGATCTCCTCACGAGGAGCATCAATTCCCACAAGTCGCTGGCCTCCTGAAAGAGTGCAGGTGCTCGAGGATCCAAGAGCACCGGCTGTGCTGAGGCGGCGAGACACTGATTGATGTCATAGTAGCGTTTCCCCCGCTCGCTCTGCTCGCGGACTAGGCTCTTGAGTTCCTGAACCTCCTCTGCTATTCCTCCGTCCTTGAACAGCGTCTTCACCTTTCGCATGGCCTTGCGCACAAAGTTGGCTTTGGAAACTCCCTGGCTGTGGTTGAGCATGAAACGGTCGATGCAATCCTCAATGTTGTAGGACAGCTCACGTACCTTGCTCCTTCAGTCTTTGGCGTGTGGATCGATCTGGTTGTCATCCTTGTCCGCGAGCATCCGAAGAACGGCATCGATGGTGCTCAGCTCCTCGTGCAGGAAGCGGATCCCACGCTCGACGTCTTTGGCGAGCTTGTACTTGGCGGTGAGCATGGCGGCCAGCTTGCCGATGACGGAGCCCATCACACTAGTGGAAGCGGCGGTCACCATCATTTCCGCCATCTTGACTCGCGACTATGGCTGAGCAAAATGCTAAGCTAGCTTGTGCGGTGGTGTGAGAGAGGATAGGTGATTCAGTTCCCAGGGTTAAAGTGTTGGAAGTGGGGCACCACTCCAAGGCACGTTGTCGCTGACAGTCCTCACGACGGCTTCAGTTCTCGAGAAGATTAATTTAACGAATGCGGGAGAGAGAAGGCAGGAGAAATGACTTGTTGCCCTCGTCTTCAACCTCCGGCTGTGCACCAATTTTTGGCGTAACACATCGTCGGCGCTTTGTCTTCAACGGCGAGGTCTTCCACGGCCGACGTTTCCATTCTTCTTTTTCTAGCCCTTGTCTCGTGCAGCCGCTCTGTTTCCGCAACTTGAGAAGAGCTGCCACGCGACGGCGGCGACCAGCTGCTGCTGACACCATGGGAGGGAGGGCGCTCCTCTGGAGCTACACGAGCAGGGGCTGTACGAGGAGCTGGTGGCCCCGAGGCTGGAGGGGCGCGCGGACGTGGCGCAGGTGGCGCTCTGCTGCCTCCACGAGGATGCGCCACTCACCAAGGTGCGGCAGAGGCAAATATAGACCCATGGCTCAGTTCCTTTCCTCCCTCTCTGTTTCAGTCGCCAGGGCACAGCAGCCGCCTCCGTGCCGCCCTGCCCCCGCCGGCGCGCCTCCAAGCCCGCACCGCCGCACCATTGCCTCCTGGCTCCCCCACGACCGGCCGCCAAATTTCCCTCCCTTGGCGTTCCCCTCCCTACCTTCCTTGAAGCTCCTCGGCCTTCTCAGGGTAATGAAGCTCCTCCTCGGCCTCCACGGTGGATCGAATGATTTGAATGAGTAGGTAGGGTATGGAGAAAAATATGAGTTCGTTAAAACATTGGATTGAAGGATTAGGATTAGGATTGCCAATGTTAAGGTTAATTGGTTAGTTAGAATTATGATTACCTTGTATTTTGCTTGTTTGAGTTTGCATCTCAACTTTTATATGTGAATAAATATATGGACATACTGTTGATGTACCAAATTTTATTTTTTACTGACCAAAGTATAGTTTTTATATAGTTTTCATGTTTGCATCTAAGATAGAGTTTGCAATAAAGTATAGGTTATATTTTATTTGTTGTAATGCAAATGGTTCTCATTGACATTAATTTGTGATGTTTTGATTTTTGTTTATTAAATTACAACCGTTTTGTTAGATGCAAGAAATGTATTGGGAGGAGTTTTGGTAAAAACGGGGTCGTCCTCGAGAATTATACACCGACGTTTCTAGCAAAGATGCCCCGTCCCTCGTGACCTCTCCGTCCCTAACTGTGACTTGTTTCAATCTAGACATCCAGACACAGCGACGTATTGCTTCTACACATGCAGTCATTTTAATGTAAGTAATTATTTTCATTATCTTTTTTTCTTCATTTGTATAAGTAGGCTACTAATATTTTGTTAGAATTTTGTTGTGTAGGACCATGAGAGGTGCTTTTTCTTTCAGTGGATCAACGCTGCAGAAAAGTTTGACCCTAGATATCTCCTTTTCGACGATTGGTGTAAAGGGAGACATCCACGTGAGCACTTCCAGCGGTGGGTTCCACCCCCGTAACTCCCCGCCAATGACGGCTAAGAAGCACCTAGCCACAGTTAGACGACTTGAGGAACCTCCTCTGTGTGAATGAGGAGATCGAGCTATGATAAACTCGAGGAATACGTTGGAGTTTGTGCATCCGAACAAATACGAAGTAAGTAGAAAGTGTATCTGTTTAAATGTTTATCTCTATATGTGTGCGTGTACTAATGTATTCTCTTGTAGCGTTATGGATTTGCGAAGTGTTGTTTCAATGAGTGGCTCTACGGTCCTAAGAATCAATGGCTAGAGCCACCAAAGGCAAAGGAAAAGAAGAAAGAAAGGTTAATTTACAAAGCACCTCCAGTCAAGTGCGAATGTGGTGTTAAATTCAACTACGGTCTAGTCCCTTCAGAGCTTGGGATAGGCCATTATTGCGGCCATATGGTTGACTATGATGAGGCTGATTATTTTTGTGGTAAACATAAAATCGTATTTTGTTTCTTTTGCTAAGACATATATGATATATTTTTTGTTTGAACAGAGCACTAGGAAATGCAGGTGGAAATGTTACGATGGTCAAGCTAAGTTCTTGGATGAACAGAAGGGGAGGCAAGTAATTGCACGAAAGAGGGGATATGAACCTGACTACGTCAACCTATTCGTTAAACATCACAAAAACAAAGATGCGTGAGTTTGCTAGACAGCGCGGTTTTCGTAACCCGATCGATGTTGGGCTTGACAAATGGGGGTTGGAGAGACGGGGGACGTTAGAGGAGGAGAGGGCAAGGAAGGAGGCAAGGGAGGAGACAAGAGTACAGATGCAGGTCTTGAACCAGCATGTTGTTGCATTATGTGCCAGTGAGTGCTTGAAAGCCTTTTTTCGTTGCCTGATTTTAAATGTAATATAATCGCGTTGCTAACTGATTGCATTTTATACATAAAGGGATTGGATGCAGCGAGGACTATGCCACAGAGGTGGCTCGTGCAAGGTATGAGGAAAATAAGTTAGATGAGCACAAAACGCGAGCTGGTCGCACTGTTCAATCACCGATTGTATTGTCTAATGAGGGGACGAGGATGAGGACGACACTGCCAGGTTGAGCGATCTCATCGCTCTTGCTGAAACAGGCTTGCAGGTGGAGGAGGAAGAGGACGACACTGGTAGACTGAGCGAGTTCGTCGCTCTAGCAGAGGTGGGCTTGTAGGCGGAGGAGGCTGAGGATGACACTAGCAGACTGAGCGAGCTCATCGCTCTAGCAGAGGCAGACTTACAGGCGGAGGAGGCTGAGGACGACACTAATAGACTGAGCGAGGTCATCGCTCTAGCAGAGGCAGGCTTGCAAGCGGAGGAGGATGACGACGCATTCTTCACTCAGGCTTGCAGGCAGACATGAGAGCTAAGGGAACAAAAATAAACATTAAATTAGACAAAGACAATACGCATCATAAAAGTTATGTACTAAACACTCTATTTAAATAGCAAAATAATTTGTAGAATATGTAGATCAACGACAGACTTAGACCATAACATATATTTATGATATAAGAGACCAACCAAAGACTTGCATGTGCTGGTGTCAAATTGGTAAATGTTTGGAACATAGAAATTCTTACTTTGCTCTCTTAGCATCCTCGTCCTCGGGTGGTCTTCTGCAACAGAACTGCTCCACCAAGTCCATTCAGTGATCGTTATCAAGGATCCCAGTCACTGGAAGACCCCCCACCCGCAGACACAGAATCATCTTCACATCCTGCATCGTGATAGTCATCTCGCCGCAAGGAAGGTGAAAGGTGTGGGTCTCCGGCCTCCACCTGTGGGTTTTTAATTCAATACAAGAAGTTTTTTAATTCAAACAATGAGACAAATCAATGCTTTGTACTATCGCAAACGTGTATCAAATCATACCTATCGACAGCAGCAGTGAGAAGTGCAGGGTCGAGGATCAGTAGCCTAGTGTTGAAGACGCGGACGATCTCAAGGAAGCCGACACGCTGTATGTACGGCCGGTATCGCTCGTCCCAGTGGTGTGGCTAGTGCGTGCGTAGTCTAAGAGGTACCAAGTCCTCCTGAAGCTCCGACAGGCGCTTGGCTCGGTGGTCCTTGTCGTAGTGCACCTCAAGAATGGGGTACTGCGGATGATGATCCCCATCCTGGTTCAAATTTCAAATGTATATGTTAGAACAAACATTAAGAGTACTATAATTTGATGGAACATTAGTGCATAAAAACAAAGTAAATGTAAAAGGAATAAACTATTATGCAAAATTACAGAATAAACATATATCATAATAAACATAGCTCTAAAGTTTCAATGTACTAACATAGTAGTTTTAAATAGCATAGCAAACAATTAACATTAATATAATAAAATGTATGCTATATGCACATGCCGCCCTTGCCTTCTATGCATGCTAGCCTTGTGACCAGGTTCTTTGCAAACGGAGCAAAGATTCCTGCCACGGGTCTCGTTGAAGTCTCCCCCTCTTTACATGTCTTCGCCATACCCTCTCATAATGTCCATGTCCCCCTTGAGCCACTTCTTCTTCCTCCTACCCTTGCCTACCTTCATTAGATCCGGATGCGGCACGTAGTCATAACCATGATAAGGTGGCCACTATGTTGGGTCAAGGTAAGGCTCGAAGCTCCTCTCCTAAATACTAACGGTGTTCGAACAGAGATACAAGAGTGACATATATGGCAGATCGTCATAGTTATACCAGCGAACCCTACAGGCGGTGATCATATGAGAGCAAGGGGCATGCATGATCTGAGGGACGTTGCAACTTTACTCTACCTTTTCAAGATCAACTCGGTAGTTTCATCCACCATAACGTTCCCCACCCAAGCTTGTGCCACCCTTGCCCCATACACTAAAGATATGGCAGCGGGGTCCATATGGCTCGGTGGTGTGCTGCTTGGCCAATTCCTTGGCCTCCTTCAAATGTTCTGCTCTGGCCTTTCCAAAATGCCCCTACTCAGCTATATTCCTCTGCGCAAGTTCCCACCTCTTAACAAAATATTTGTTGCACTTATGAAAGGAGAACTCAACAATTCCAAACACAGGCAACGATCGAACTCCGGTGAATACACGGTTGAAAGACTCCGAGGAGTTAGTGGTCATGATGCCATACCTAAAACCCCCCTCGTCATATGCTAACGCCCACTAAGCCTTCTGTTCCATTTGTGCCTCTAACCAGGTCTTTCCCACTTCATTTAGCATCTTGTCTAGTTCTCTCTTTGTCTTTTGAATTGGTGCTCTATACGTACACAACATAGAGCATTTACCTTGTCACATACCTCCTTCTTCCTCTGACGCCGCCAGAAATTAGCGGCAAAGTGTCTCATGCACCATCTATGCACTAGAGGTGGGAACCCATCTATATGCTCAGCTGCAGCATTAAGAAGCCCTGGGTGATGGTCCGAGATCAAACATATAGTGCGAGATGGGCCAAGCA